CATTCACTCCTTCCAAAAATATAAGCAGATGCATGCAATGCACATACGTGTCGTCTCTAAACAAGATTAAATCAGACAAACAAAATTACTTGTAATAATAATAATAATTGCATTTATATAGCGCATATCCATGCTCAAGAGCTTGCTCTATGCACTTTACAACTATTATTACCCCAGCAGACCCTCTGAGAATACTCAGAAACATTCTCAGCTTCTGCGGAAGCATACCGTGCAAGCTGCGGATTTCACGCGCTCAAACACTATCAAACTGACAAGACCTTTTACTGTCTATAGCTGGGTACCCCTTTCCACCTGGGTGAAGTGAGGAAAATTAATTTTGTGCAAAGTGCCTTTCCCAAGGACACAACGTCGGGCCCCTGACGGGATTCGAACCCACGATCTTACGGTTGCGAGTCTGAGAGCCTAAGGTTAACACTAAGGTCTGTCTTTACATTTCTGAACAATGTGCTGGTCGTTCAATTATGCGAAAAGAGCTACAAACTTTTTACAGTACGGCCTGTCTTTACATTTGAAGAGTCCACTGGAGAATAAAACCCCGGCTTAGTCATAAACTAGAAATTGTGAGGGTGTCAATTTTAAAAGCTTGTCGACTCGTAACTTCATATTTGTTTGATTGGTGGTTTATTTGAGACTCTATATGTTTGTTGGAGGGGAAATCTAACAATAATCAACCAACAGCTGAACAGAAATACAGTTATGACTTAACAAGTGTTCAAAATTGATACCCTCACGACTTTCAGTTTGTGACTATGCCCGTTTTTTCAGTGGAGTCCTTACTTCTGAAGAATGTGCTGATAGTTCGTGGTGCAAAAAAAAAAGTTAAGAATCTGCTTTCTGTAAGATCTTTCTTTACATTTCTGAACAATGTGCTGATAGTTCATGGTGAAAACAAAACAAAACACAAAACAACAACAACAACAGCAACAACAACAACAACAACAACAACAGCAACAACAACAACAACAATAAAACAATCAAAACCAGAACAAAAAAACAACAACCCACCCTCCCCCCCCAAAAAAATTGTTCAGAACCTTCTTACAATAAGGTCTATTTTTACATTTCTTATCAATATTATTATGCTGACGGTATGTTGTGCAAAAAAAAAAAAAGAGTTAAGAATCTTTACATAGAAACTAAAGTAAACAGGTTGTCCGGTTTCAAAGAATAGCGTGTGGTATGGGGACGCGTTATTTCCATCAGATATTTAATGTGCTACTGCCTCTTTGATAATTTTCGTGCTGGAATAGTCGAGCTTGATTTTATCCAGAACATGATGTATCAAGAAAACGGTATTTCACTTCGTTCAATTTTATGGTCAGTTTATTTTGGCCCCGTTCCTGATAATAGTAAAACTGATAAAAATGGCGATGATGACAATAATAATAGTGATGTTGTTACAACAACAGCAGGAACAATAACAGCAGCGACTAAAAAATAACAGCGCCGGAAAACATTAACAATAGTATAGCAGGAACAGAAGTGTTAAAAGTAGAAGTTTCAATAACATCAAGATGATTTAATGATATTGATACCTGTAATAATGTAAATAATACAATTAATATACATAGATATTAAAAATATCAACAATAACAATGATAATTATTATAATAATAATGATGATGATGGTGATGATGATAATAATAATAATAATAATAACAATAATAACAATAATAACAATAATAATGATAATACGTGTAATAATAATAATTTATAGTAATAAGAAAAATAATAACATTAATGATTATAATAATAATGATAATAATAATAACGACAACAACAATAACAATAATAATGATAAAGATGATGATGATGATGATGATGATAATAATAATAATAATAATAATAATAATAATGATAGTAGTAGTAGTAGTAGTAGTAGTAGTATAATGATAACGATAATGATAATAATAATAATAATAATAATAATAATAATAATAATAATAATAATAATAATAATAATAATAATAATAACAATAATAATAATAATGATAACAACAACAACAACAACAACAATAATAATAATAATAATAATAATAATAATAATAATAATAATAATAATAATAATAATAATAATAATAATAATAATAATAATAATAATAATAACTGACTCCTAAAATGAATGTGTTTATTTTTCCATGTTAGAGCTTTTCATACACTATCAACGTCTCCACTAGGGTCTGCAGGAGTACGGTAATAATAATTGTGTTATAAAGCCTATATATAGAGCATGTTGTTGAGCGTAGATACAATTAATTACGCTATATGAAATGCAATGGTTATAATAATTATTGTTATTGTTAACTATTATTACTGTTGTAATCATGATCATGATCTTTATCATCATCATCATCATCGTCATTATTATTTATAGTAGTAGTAGTAGTAGTAGTAGTAGTAGTAGTAGTAGTAGTAGTAGTAGTAGTAGTAGTAGTAGTAGTAGTAGTAGTAGTAGTAGTAGTAGACTTGTTATTACATGCATTAGTATTGCTATTATTAGAATTATTGTTATTGTTGTTGTTGTTATTATATTATCATTATTATTATTATTATTATTATTATTATTATTATTATTATTATTATTATTATTATTATTATTATTATTATTATTATTATTATTATTATCATTATAATTACTACTGATAGTAATAATATCATAATTATCATTATTATTATCATGTTAGTATTGCTTTGAGCGGTTGAAGCACTGACTGGGCCCGATCACACAGACCCGACTTGTCAGCCAGTGTTCACACTACTTTAAGACCCAGCGGTAGAACAGAATCCGGTCACTGTCCCCCAACTACCCAAACATCCTGATTGTGTTGTGCACACGGCCGTGGTTGTTCACCGTGGAATTTACGGCACACAGTGTAACACACTACACACACACACACCGTTTAATACACTGCACCTGAAAGTCGCTTACGTTAGACGTTTTTACTTTTTTTAAAGTGATCAAGAGCACAAAAAATTTGCAGTTTCCAAGGACAGTCAAGCTTTGTAAGTCACCAAACTTTGGTGGCCATTTTCTCGCAAATGTTCTCGCAAATTTTCTCTCTGACACAAGGCGACCCCCATGCCCCTCCTTCTATCGCAAATATCTTGACTTCTATACAGGATGTGGGTAATTTTTAAATTAAAAAAACAGTAAGACAAGTGGAGAAGCTTTAAGGGTACGGTATACAATAACTCCATATGCCTCAAAATTGACGAGCACCTGTTGATACCACTGTGTCATGACATAAATTATAAGAATGCATTGAAAATGGAAAGAACAATTGAGGCTACAGAGCTGTGGTTCATAAGACGCGTGTTGCGTATCACATGGACAGCTGAAAAAACAAAAGAAGAAGCCTTGGTTGAAGAAAATTTTAATTGCCTTGGTTGAAGAAAATTTTAATTGCAGACGACAGCTTATGACGAATATACGAAAGCGATAGGCAAATTTAATTAGACACACAATGTGGAAAGAAGCATTAGAGAATATTGTAACAACAGGCAAGTTTGATGGAAATAACAAGAAAGGCAGAGGCAGACAGAGGGAAAAGATACTGGACAAATTGACAACATGGCTTGGAGCAGCAAGAACAACAGACACCATTGCTGCAACGCAAGACAGAGAGCGAAGTGGAGTTCCATGATCGCCCACGCCAGTCGGCAAGGCACCGGATGATGATGATTGTTTAGGCTATATTATTATTATGACGTTGGTGTTCTCGTAGCTGTAAGCTACCGGTCTCGTAATCGTGAGGTTGCGGGTTCGGGGGTTCGAGCCTCAGGCCCGACGTTGTGTCCTTGGGAAGGGCTCAGTACACGAATTTTTTTATCACTTCACCCAGGTGGGAATGGGTACTCGGTCATGGACAGCGAAAAATCTTGTTAGTATGTTAGTGTTTTAGCGCCTATAAAATGGTAGCTTTCACTGCCATGTATGCTTCCTAGGAAGTTGAGACTGTTTCAGAATGCTATCAGGTCTGCTGGCATGGGGTAATACAGGGGCGGCTCGTGGGGCTAAAAAGTGGGCGTGCACAATAATAATTAAGCTATCGCATGCTGAAGATAGTCAAAGGCATGCATAGCAAATGAGACAGTGTATAATTTTAGGATCTTTGGGTTGGTGAGGGAGGGCTTCGTGTTTTTATTTTCATTCTTTTTACTAGTCGCTTTGATTTCTAGTACTAAATTTGTTTGTTAGCTAAACATCAATTTCGTTCATCCTGTATTGGAATTGAACACTCAAGTACATGTAATAAATTTCACTACTCCACTACAAAACTATTCAACAAAGGCACAACTCATAGGACGGTCACGTTCACCTCCCTCAGGTTCACGGTTACAGAGTCACTTAAAATAGTGGCAAGACAAACAATGAACCAATCACAATTCACTTGAGCACTCCGCTGGATTGCTCCGTGGATCACATCATACTGGAAAAGAATAGCGTAGGGTCAATCGCGTTTATTTTTAGACTGCCTACTATGGGCTATGTTTCGGCACTATTCAGCAGGAGCACATTTGATACCGGCTTATTAATATTAATGTACCGCCAAACTCGCTACGAGTGTCGTCATCGCTTGGGTTATCCCCAAGAGCGATTTATAGGTAACGTTGCACTGTTGAATATCCTTTTCTGTTAAGCTAAAGTGCGTGGACTATTGGCATGGCATTGTAGATGTTTTACGGCGCTATAGACATAGAAATGACAGTTATGGCGCCAGTGAGGACCTTTGTTTTGATATAAAATTTGGCTAGCATTTGTTTTTGGCTTCTTTTATTTATTCATATTATTGTGGGTGTTTTACGTAATAGAACATTAAAACATTTTGGACGGTACTGCATGACTGTGCTCTAAGGACGAACCTCGCCTGGTAATGATATAGATTGTAAAGCGCAAAGAGCTTGCTGTTGAGCGGGAATTTGCGCTACAAAAATGCTATCTATTATGTATTGTTATAACAAATCTTTTTCTTGTTTATTTTTTCTCCCCAGTGGTTCCATGCAAGCCTAGGACCTGTGTTTGTTTACCTGTCGTCAGCGTGCGTGTGTCCTGTGTAGGATCACCTTACAGAGGCTGTGGTTTTTATGTGTCAGTTCTTTCGCAGAGATAGTGTCTATGTGCCAGTGTTGTTGTTTAGTGTGGGTGTTCTTGTTCTAGCAAATGTTAACTTATTCTTATTTTGTTTTATTCATTTAATAAATCAGTTAATAATAAGTCCCTTTGTTTTCTTTTTGTTTCGTTTTATTCCGTTTTGTCTTATTGTTTTGGGTCTTTTTCAGGGGAGGGGGGGGGGGGGTCCTGGGTTTGTTTGTTTGTTTTGTTTTTGTCTTTTTTTCCCAAACGCCACAGAAGCTTTCTTGTTCTCAGAAAACAATGGGAAAAGGAGCACGATAAAGCACTGAATTTGAACAGCTCCAGCAGTCTTCCAATTGAACAAAATCGCCCTAGTCACTGCACTGGTCCTCTCACTCTGCAGCCTAACTTTGGGGCGGGGGGGAAAGCCTCTCTTCTCGAAGTCTCTGTTTATAATCATTGTAATAATAATATTCGGATTATTGTGTCCTTCCTGTTGGGCAAACGAGGCAATAATGGAGGTACCACATTTCCAGAAATGATGGACCATTCGAACAATCGTCATCAGCTTTTAATATGCATCCTATTGGAAATCTTCGTGCGTGTTTTCCTGTTTCCCAGTTGAGGAAAGTTGGAATAAATGTATGTAAGTGTCAACCAGGGGCGGCTCGTGGGGCTAAAAAGGGGACGTGCACAATTAAGTTATCGCATGCTGAAGATAGTCAAGGGCATAGTAAATGAGACGGTGTATAATTTTAGGATCTTTGGGTTGGTGAGGGAGGACCTCCTGCTTTTATTTTCGTTCTTTTTACTTGTCGCTTTGATTTCTAGCGCTGCATTTGTTTGTTAGCTAAACATCAATTTCGTTCATCCTGTATTAAAACTGAACTCTCAAGTCATAACTTTCACTACTCCACTACAATACCATTCGAAGGCACAACTCATAGGACGGTCATGTTCACCTCCCTCAGGTTCACGGTCACAGAGTAGAGTCACTGAAAATAGTGGCAAGACAGACAATGAACCAATCACAATTCACTTGAGCACTCCGCTGGGTTGCTCCGGGGCTCATATAATATTGGAAAAGAATAGCGTATGGTCTATCGCGTTTATTTTTAGACTGCCTACTATGGGCTATGTTTCGGCACTGTTCGGCAGGAGCACATTTGAGATGTGCCGCCTTATTAATATTAATGTACCGCTAAACTCGCTACGAGTACCGTCATCGCTTGGGTTATCCCCAAGAGCAATTTATAGGTCAGGATACACTGTTGAATATCCTATTATGTTTAGCTAAAGGGCTTGGACTTTGGCATGGCATAGTAGATGTTTTACGGCGCTATAGACACAGAAATGACAGTTATGGCGCCAGTCAGGACCTTGGCTAGTGTTTGTTTCTGGCTTCTTTTATTTTATTATTGTGGGTGTTTTACGTAATAGAACACTAAAAAATGTTGGGCGGCACTGCACGACCGTGCACTATGGACGAACCGCACCTGGCGTCAACCAGAAACTTGCATTTTTCCTTGATATATCCTTGACCGGTGCATGCCAACCTGGGGGAATTTTGCCTACGTTTGGGCGAAATAATAATGTGTGTCACAACACGGTGGAATCAGGCTCTCGTCAGTTTTTGGGCATACAATATATGGAGTTGTTGGTATCGTGTTAAAGCCTGTTTATTTACCTTGCTTTATAAGAAAACAGCACCCATTTATATTGATTGAAAGTCAAAATTTTTGCAATGGAAGGAGGTCTGGGTGGCTTCGTTTCAGAGGTACAATTTGCAAGAAAATGACCGCCAATATTTAGTGACTGCCAAAGCTTGAGAGTCCTTTTTTTCTTTTTAGAAAAATCTTCACATAAATGGATATTAGAAGTGTTGAGCCAAAAAATGAAAAAAATTGATTAACAATCATAAAAATGCAGATTTCTTGATTTCATTATGCTGACGAGCGCCTGATTTTACCACGATACCACAAATTCTGGCGGGCTGTGGGATCACTTGGTTAGTGACAGGTCGCGATCTCAGAATTGCAAAGTTCTGTCTGACATTTTTTGGCCACTTTGAGATACTAAGACCACGAGGTCAATAGCAAATGCTCTATCCGCCCTGTCAAAATCATAGGAATATTCAGAGTCGTTATCAAGATATTCAAAGAACTGCATTAAAAAAAAAAACTTGACATGTTGTGAAACTCAGCAATTTTGACGTCAAATTTCTCAAAACTAGATACTGAGCAGATAGAACTTTGTAAAATCTGAGGTAGTGATGTAATAATGCTCCGATTTGAAAAAAAAATAAAAGTGGGCAATACGGAAATGTCCGTGTCGTGGAAAATTGTGTCGGTGTCAACGTGGTACAACAAATCGATTTTGACATATTCTACCCCTTTCTTTGTTTTGCTTTATAATCTACAAACTGCAAATCGTTGTCCGTTGTGTCGTATCGTCCTCCATAGTATGGTTATTATCACAACAAGATACCCTTGACATACATACATAGATACACGCACAAATACTCACCCACACAAATTCACATATGCACACATAGTATACATGCCGCTCATACACTCTCAAAGAAACCCATCTCCGAACACAGTAACACACGGGACTAAACACAATGTTCACATTGCAACATAGCCCACATATTTCACCTAACCATCTGTTCTATCACCAACCGGTTTGTGTGTGTGTGTGTGTGTGTGTGTGTGTGTGTGTGTGTGTGTGTGTG